TGCAACTGCCAAGCCGTGACATGCCTTACTGCGCTCAGGAGGGTTTTTTGAGAGTGAAACTATGCAGTGCACTACACTGAGGTTACAGTTCCTGGAAGGAAGGGGAATTCCAGGTACGTGTAAGGACTGTCCCCTTCCCAAGGCTAACTGCTCCACTGTTCCCACCTGTCCCCACCCAGGACTACGCTGTGGGCTACATGCTAAGGCTGGGAGTCCCGGCCGAGAAGCTGCTGATGGGCATTCCCACCTTTGGGAGGGGCTTCACCCTGGCCTCTTCTGAGACAGGTGTGGGAGCTCCCTGCTCAGGACCAGGGATACCAGGCCAGTTCACCAAGGAGGAAGGGATCCTCGCTTACTATGAGGTATGACTCAGGAAGAAGATCATCTACTGGGGAAGATGGGCCTCCCACGCCTTTATGCTCTTTCAGGAATAACAATAATGTTCCAAGGGACTAGCACCCTAGGATGAAGGGGAGGTAAGGTATCCTCAGTCTGCCTCTGGCCAACAGTCCTAAGGTACTTTGGTTTCTTGCCAGCTTCTATTGCTTCAAGCAGCCTGGGACCACACAACTCAGGAACATTTGGCTTTGTTTTACATAAGCTTGCAGGAAGCACACAGTTGGGGGCACATGTAACCTGCAGGGCTGAAAAAAGCTTGAGGAGTTGCCCCCCCTCCCGTGACTTGCAGTCCCAGCACAGCTCCCTCACTACCCTGCCCTATTCTCTGCTCAGATCTGTGACTTTCTTCGTGGAGCTACAGTGCACAGACTCCTGGACCAGCAGGTCCCCTATGCCACCAAGGGCAACCAGTGGGTGGGGTACGATGACCAGGAGAGTGTCAAAAACAAGGTAGGTCTCCCAGGCCATGCCCCAAGATGAAGAGGGAGAGGATAACCTGCTCCAGGTATCCCCAGGGGTCCTCACCTGGGGGGCCCAAGAGAGCAGGTCACCCCCCCACCCCACATACACACATCTGGGAGGGTAACCCAGCCCTGCCACCTCTGGGCCTTCCCTTCCAGGTGCAGTACCTGAGAAACAGGCAGCTGGGTGGAGCCATGGTATGGGCCCTGGACTTGGATGACTTCCGCGGCACCTTCTGTGGTCGGAATCTGCACTTCCCTCTCACAGGCGCCATCAGGGACGCCCTTGCTTCGGCTTAGCTCTCTGTGCTGCGCATGCTGGGCCAGGGTGCCCTTCGCCCTGTGGTCTTGCTGCTCTGGAGCTTAGCCACTTGCCCTGCTGGACCTCAGTCTCCTTCCCTGGGGCCCATGCAGAGGCCACGGGTCTGAGCCCTGAGCTCAGCTATGTGGACATGCAGGTGGGGTTGTGGGGGAGCAGTGAGGGCTGGGGATCCACATAGTGTCAGACACAGTACAGCACACATGGATGGTGAGTGAAAATGCCCAGCTCCCTTCCCCGAGCCTCCTTGTCAGAGGACACCACGGGCAAGCTCCTCTACCCCGTAACGGAGTCGTATAGAAAGCAGTGACCACACGAAGCACATGCTCTGCGCAGCGCGGCCTCCAACCCGCACCCAGGAATGTCCTCATGCCTCCCTCCCGATTCCACAGCTGCTCAATAAAACACCCGAGCCTTAGAGCCTTGGCGCTTGCTTGTTTGTCTCTGAGGCCCCACTGGGCTCACCTCTCCCGTCTCTCCTGGGTTCCTCTTTCCCAGGCTGGGGACCCTGAGCTGGCAGAAGGGAAGGACAGCCTGGCCACGGCTAGGACCCTGCGAATCCCCAAAGGAGGCCAGCCTCCTCAAATTTGCCTGCCTTGGGCTTCACCCGAGAGGGCTGACAGCGTCCAGATATAGTCACTGTCACCAGACCTCCTGACTCAGCTCCTTGTTGGGAGAATTCTTTTGTGTTTCTGGAAGGTTAGCAGGAAGGAGAAGGAGGCAAGCCCTTTAATCCTAACCCTTCATCTACTGGGGAGGGAGTGTAGGAGCCAACAGGGCCAGGGGCTAGAAAGGAGACACCCATGTTGCATCACACACCCTCCCTTCGTCCCAGATCTGGAGTCTCTGTGGGCACTGGAGGCCTGGCCTTCCAGCCTGCCTGTTGTCTTCCCATTCCCAGAGAACTCACTGCCACAGAGCAGCCCTTCCCATCGCCACATCAGCCCCCTGTCCCCCTCATCTCTCTCCTAGGACACGCTCAGCCCTCAACCCACCAGGGCTCCTCAGCACAGGCTGGCCTGGGTCATGTGGATGGGATGAGTGGGATGGCATGCTTTGTATCCAAAGAAAGTCCAGATGCACATCCCAAAGCCCTAGGAAATTCATTCGTGGAGTCTCTGACGTTTGGACCCTGTGACTTGTCCTAATGGTTTATGACACTAGTTTGAGGTGTAGGGAAGGAAATACCTATTGGCTGCCCTGAAATCTGAACCAGCTGGAGCTGGGCAGATGCAACTGGCCCCAAGGTCACAGCCCAGCTAAAGGCAAAGAATACGGGGACCTGGCCAGAACCTCAGGGGTACGTGACATTTCACCGCTGGCCAGTGGGGCCAAGCATTCCCTGATCTCTGACTACTGCACACTACACCACACAAGGGTCTTTGAAAGGAAGGTGGGGCGAGCCCTCCATGGCAGCCACCCCCTCCACCCCACTCCCTTGGGNAGCCTTGGCGCTTGCTTGTTTGTCTCTGAGGCCCCACTGGGCTCACCTCTCCCGTCTCTCCTGGGTTCCTCTTTCCCAGGCTGGGGACCCTGAGCTGGCAGAAGGGAAGGACAGCCTGGCCACGGCTAGGACCCTGCGAATCCCCAAAGGAGGCCAGCCTCCTCAAATTTGCCTGCCTTGGGCTTCACCCGAGAGGGCTGACAGCGTCCAGATATAGTCACTGTCACCAGACCTCCTGACTCAGCTCCTTGTTGGGAGAATTCTTTTGTGTTTCTGGAAGGTTAGCAGGAAGGAGAAGGAGGCAAGCCCTTTAATCCTAACCCTTCATCTACTGGGGAGGGAGTGTAGGAGCCAACAGGGCCAGGGGCTAGAAAGGAGACACCCATGTTGCATCACACACCCTCCCTTCGTCCCAGATCTGGAGTCTCTGTGGGCACTGGAGGCCTGGCCTTCCAGCCTGCCTGTTGTCTTCCCATTCCCAGAGAACTCACTGCCACAGAGCAGCCCTTCCCATCGCCACATCAGCCCCCTGTCCCCCTCATCTCTCTCCTAGGACACGCTCAGCCCTCAACCCACCAGGGCTCCTCAGCACAGGCTGGCCTGGGTCATGTGGATGGGATGAGTGGGATGGCATGCTTTGTATCCAAAGAAAGTCCAGATGCACATCCCAAAGCCCTAGGAAATTCATTCGTGGAGTCTCTGACGTTTGGACCCTGTGACTTGTCCTAATGGTTTATGACACTAGTTTGAGGTGTAGGGAAGGAAATACCTATTGGCTGCCCTGAAATCTGAACCAGCTGGAGCTGGGCAGATGCAACTGGCCCCAAGGTCACAGCCCAGCTAAAGGCAAAGAATACGGGGACCTGGCCAGAACCTCAGGGGTACGTGACATTTCACCGCTGGCCAGTGGGGCCAAGCATTCCCTGATCTCTGACTACTGCACACTACACCACACAAGGGTCTTTGAAAGGAAGGTGGGGCGAGCCCTCCATGGCAGCCACCCCCTCCACCCCACTCCCTTGGGGCCACCCTTCCCCCAACTGGGACATACTCGGCAGGGGTGACTCAGGGTCCTGCAGTTAGTCACATTCACTTATAGCTGCAGACTCAGCGTAAGGGATGGGGATCTGGTCTCCAGGGCCCACCTCCTGCCCGGCAGGACACTGAGTCACTTGGCACAGGCTATGGGCACTGAGGCAAGGCTCTGCACACCTCTCCCCAACAAGGGCAGCCAAGGGTGAAAGGCAGCCACATTCCCGCGTCCCACCCCAGGGAGGGAAGAGACTGCCTGCAGCTAAGGACCCTAAATAAATTATATGTGTGTTTATTCTTAAATTGTGGGATATACCATACATGCCAAAGCACACATAAAATGCGTTTTTTAATTTAAAGAATTGCTATATAGTGAAAACTTGTGTAACCACCACCCAGGACAGGAAATGTGACCTCATTAATGTTCCTCAAACTCCACCCAGAGGCAACCTCCATCCTGGCTTCCTCTGTGGTCTCACCACTGGGAGATGCCCCTGGAAGCAGGGAGCTTGCTGTTGTCTGAGCTTGCATTTAATGTAGATGGGTAACACCATTTCTGCTTCATAGGTGTACACACTCCACGGTTATCCAGCATCCCACTGTTGAGGGATAGCTCTTTCCCCCAGGTTTTGGCTATTGCAAATAGTCCTTGGGGGTGTTTTCAGGCATGTCTGTCTCCTGTGCACCTGTGTGAGAGCCTCGGGGTGTCACCACTGGGTCATGAGTGTGCACATTTCGCATGATACCAGATCCCGTCCCAATTGTTCCAAAGGGATTCCTCCCACCCACAGTCCCAGGAACGATGAGCGCTCCTGTTGTCTCCCTTCTCCCTGACACAGTGTTTCCCAGGTTATTAAATGGTCACCAGTCTGAGCATTTCAGTGGATGAATGAATCAATGGCTAGAAATTTGTACCTGCCTCATTTCCTCCACTGCAAATGCCCAGGCCAGGCCCTGCTTTGAAGAGTCTAGAGGTTTCAGAGTGCTGGCTCCCTCCAGAGTCTCTTCCACATCTGCCTTACTGACTTTATCCCATCCCAGAGGCCAGGGTCTGTCATTGTGTGCTCCGTAACAAGCGGGGTAGCAGAGGCCCCAAAAGGTTCTTGCCAGAATTCCCAAGAGAGGCAGTAACCAAGGGCCCTAGACCCCCTCCCTGGGATCCCATTGCTGGAAGACCTTCCTCAGCCCCACCTTGGCATCCCAATTCCCTCCCTCTCTAGGTCCCTCAACCTCTTACAGCACAAGGGAGACCCCCTCCCCAGGGAATGTGAAGACCAGGGGCAAAGCTACCCAGGGAAGGCTATTTCAGGCTGTCTGGGCCCCAGCCCCAGGCTCAGGAGCCCTGGGCACACGTGACCCCCTGGAGGCCAACGCGGCCTGATCTGGGTTCATCCTCTAGATGGAAGCTCTCGTTCCCACTGCCCTGACCCCTGGCACAGGCTACTGGCAATGTCCTATCTCACCCATTTGTGCCTTCCTCCCATCTGGGCACCAGCACCCTGGCTGCTGAGAGCCAACCAGGCTGATGGACGACACAGTGCACTCCTCAAGGGACCCTTCGGTTCCTCCCCCAGAGCTATTCCTGGCCCAGGCGCCTCCCCACCCCCTGTCCCCCCCACCTGACCTGACCCCACAGCTGGGAATCATTTGGCTGGGGGTGGGGCAGCCCCTGCCTATATAAGCCTGGACCTAGGTGTCCCAGGCACCCTGGAGGCCCAGACCCTCCACTGCTGACCTCTGCACACTTCAGCCTGACCCCCAGCCAGCCTGGCAATGACAGCGACCTCGCAGGCTGCTGACTATGGTCCGGAGGAGAATGCCTCTGAGTTGGCCAAGGTGCCCACGGAGCCCTCGGAAGGGGTGGCAGCATCTGAGACCAAAGGGGAAGAGCAGGCTCCCGTGGCAATCCCTGAGGCACCTGCCCCCACAGCCTCGGAGGCCCCTGACCATGGTCCCGAGGGGAATGCTGCTGAGTTGACCAAGGTGCCCACAGAGCCCGCGGAAGGGGTGGCAGCATCGGAGACCAAAGGGGAAGAGCAGGCTCCCGTGGCAATCCCTGAGGCACCTGCCCCCGAAGCCACTAAACCTGCACCTCCAAGTGAAGGTGACAAGAGGTGGGGCAGGTGGAGGAGGGAGGCAGGCACGGCTGGAGGACGGGGGACTCGGCCACACGCCTCATCCTCTCCCCTCCTTCTCCCACAGACGTGCCCAGTGCCCCGCTGCTGCTGACCGTAGAGGATGTGAGCGACAGCTCGGTGACTGTGAGCTGGGAGCCTCCGGAGAAGCTAGGGAGTCAGGGGCTCCAGGGCTATGTGCTGGAGTTTCGCAAAGAGGGAGGTGAGCTCTAGGCCAAGCCCTGCATACGCCCAGAGGAGGTGGGCTTGGGGGCCACATGGACAAGCCCCCAGACCCCACTCAATCCAGGGAGACACAGAGGAGGGACTGAAGACGGAGGGTGTCTGAATGTCCTCAGAAAGTGCTTGTCCTCCAGCTCCAGGGAGCCCCTGAGTGACAGACGCTGGGCACTGCTCTGTGAGGGAGGGTTTACATCTCAGGAGACCCTGCAGGGGGAGGGTGAGCAGGAGGCAGAGCAGAGTAGCTGGGGGGTGGAGGGAGAGTTAGAGACAGTGAGGAAAAATGGACAAATTCCTGTTGTCCACTTCCATGGCAGCCAAGCCTGCCTGGCCTCTGCCTCTGACCTGCCTTGCTATGCAACTTAACAAATGTGTCCACACTGAGCTTGAGCTACCCCACCTCTGGCCACCAATCCAGGACTCTAACATCAGGTGTCCTGTCATTTGGAAATGAGAGGTCAGGGAAGAGAGGAAGAGGGAAATAGGCACAGAGAGAGAGGTCAGCATCCCAAGACCTTGGCAAGAAGGGAAGGCCCACTGAGAAGGGTGCCCACGGCTCTGAAGACAGAGCCTCACATCCTCTCCTTTCCCCCAGCCTCGGAGTGGGTGCCCGTGAGTGCCCGGCCCATGATGGTGACCCAGCAGACGGTGCGGAACCTGACCGTGGGAGACAAGTTCTTTCTGCGCGTGGCTGCTGTGAGCCTTGCAGGGGCCGGCCCGCCCGCTGTGCTGGACCAGCCTGTCCACATCCGAGAGATCATCGGTAAAGCCTTTCACCTCCTGCTCCCAGCCCTCCCCAGGCACCTTGTTTGATGGATGGAGAAACTGAGGCCAATGGGCAGAGCGAACAGGGAGTCATTCCCCACCCCCACCATGCAGGCACAAGCAGCATGCGTCACCATCTTGCCTTGAGAAAGTTCCAAGTGCCTCACTAGCAAGGGACATCTGAAGGCCCAAGAGGACATTTCCCTGAGTGGTCCTCACCCAAGCATTGAGGGAAGGGTTTCCCGACTCCGAAAAATGAAAGCTCAAGCACCCCAGGTGACCTGCCTCAGGGCCCCAGTGCTAAGATCCATTCCATTCTTCCTCCTGTCCACTTTTCCTCCCTCCAGTGGCCATGAATGCTCATTCCTGCCCATTTTCTGCTCATGTCACATGGCCTGGGTTCCATATCTACCAGAGGTTTTGGAACAGAGAAAAGTTGTCCCACCATATCTCGTGGGAGGAAGAGCAGGGCCCTCGAAAGGCCCGAGAAGGTTTCTCCATCCCCAGAGGGCAGCACTGCCCTGGGACCTGGGAGGCCAGCGATGTCCCTTGCTAAGATTTCTATTTGTGGGGTGCATCAGCCTTAAACCTACCCCTGCCCCCTGCCAGAGCTGGTCAGGTTTCAGTCTGTTAATGGCAGTGAGTCATTCGTTCTGATCCAAGGTCTCTGGGCACGGCCCAGGGCCCCAGTGAAGAGAGATACAGGCCAGCAGGTGGACTGAGGCCTTCTCAACCTTCTTCCTTGCTCTGTACCTCAGCCCCCAGAGGAGGACACCACAGGTCTGAACAAGGCATCCACAAATAGGGGGTCTAATGGCCACAGGAGGTGTCAGATTTGGATTCAAGAAGATACAGCTCCACTCCAGGGCCTGAGAGATGTGAGACCCACAGGGACAGTAGAATCCTAGGCTGTCACAGCTGGTCCACAGGGTCAGGGACTCTCTGGAGGAGACCCAGCCTCTGGTGGCAATCCCTCCCGGAACCTGTTCCCACACACTCCTGTCTGCCAGGTGGCAGGGAATCTTCTCCATGGTTTTCAAAACCCAAGGATGTTCCCAGCCTTTGAGTCTGGGTGGGACATGGTTGCACCTGGCAGCTGCAGCGTAGACACAAAGACCTCATTGGGAGGGTCCTGGGCCATCCCCTTGGGCCTAGGGAGTTCAGACTCTGAGAGCAGCATGGGCCGGGCCTCTCCCCAGAAGCCCAGCGTTGACAGCCAGACTATGCCCCCACTACTCCGCTAGAATTCCTCTGGCAGCAGAGAAGGGGATTTCCTGGAGAGAAGAGGGGAGAGACTGTGAACAAACAGGGACCAGCCAGCCCTCCTGGTGGGCAGGGCAGGGTGGGGGCCTGTCCAGGTTCCTCGGCTGCTCAGCTGTCCCTCCTTGGCCACCTGCAGCTGCCAAGCATTCCTCCCTGATGCTCCCAGAGCCAAGTGCCCACACAGCTAATCCTTGGAGACACAGTGTTCCTTCTCCCCAACTCCTCCCTCCGCCCTGTGAGCCAACAACTGTGGCCACCTGTTTGCCTCAGAACCCTCAGTCCCCACCACCACCACCACCCCGCCTACGGAAAAGTGGCGTGGCTGCTGCTGCTTCCCTTGGAATGCCCAGTGGCTTCAGGGTTTGCACCTGGTTAGGTGACACTCAGGACAGTGGTGTCCTATCCTAGCATGGGACTAAAGTCAGATTTCAGGAAGGCCTTTCCAGCTGTGAGACTGAAAGGTGGTGGGAGGGGTGGCAGAGAAAGAAGGGAATTGTCTGTTCTGGAGCATTTAGGAAGGGAAACATCCTAACCCTCTCATGCAACCAGGAGACAGAGCATGGGGCACTTGGGTCTCCCAGGGGCTTCTTGGAAGATCTTGGGCTCGTGTGGGTGGTGGCGCTGGATTAGGAGGCCAAGGCTTTGCCCCCTTTCTGGGAATGCAGGCTGGCAGGTGCAGATGCCCGACATCTGGAGCCCAGGAATCTAGGGCTGCAGGCAAGTCACAGCCTGGCAGAGCCTGAGAGCCTAGGGAATGCCAGATGCTTCTCTGTTCACGCTTTGGAGGCCCTGCCTTCCTGGGGCCTCCTGGCTTAGTTCCCCAAGGGCTTTAGGGGGTTTGGGGCTCTGGATTTCAGGAGCAAGCTTAGTTCATCCCACAAGGAGAGGGCCCCAGAACACAGCCAGGAGCCCTCCTGCCCAGCCAGCAGCCCTCCCCAATCAACAACCCCGCTGCTGTGCTGAGCTGACTTTTGCTTTGAGGCAGAGGCCCCCAAGATCCGTGTGCCCCGCCACCTCCGTCAGACCTACCTTCGCCAGGTGGGAGAGATGGTCAACCTGCAAATTCCCTTCCAGGTGTGTGTGGAAATCAGGTACAAGCTCGGGTGGAAGTCAGGGCCCCATCTGAGGTGGTCAGAAGAGCCCAGGAAATGTCAGGATTCCTGTGGGGCTCTGCCTGGGACCCACCTGGATGGTCCCGCCACATTCTCCAACCTGTGGATGGGGCAGCTCATCTCAGGGCTCAATGGACAACTGCAGGGTGAGGGTCTGGGCAGCAACTGTGGCTCCAGCCTTTGCTGCCCCCCCCCCCGGGAGGGGCTGGTGGGGGTGACTCCCTGGACACAGCTCTGGAGACCCCAGAATTAGGGGGCTGTGGGGGGCTGGCCCCTCCTGCACACACCTGAGGGCCCCTCCCTCACAGGGGAATCCCAAGCCTCAGGTCTCGTGGACACACAACGGCCACGCTGTGGACAGCCAGAGAGTGAGCGTGCGCACTGGGGACCAGGACACCATCCTCTTCATCCGCTCCGCCCAGCGCTCAGACTCAGGCCGCTACGAGCTCACCGTGCGGCTGGAAACCTTGGAGGCCCGGGCAGCCATCCACATCCTGGTCATTGGTACGGGGCAGGGGACGCAGGGTGCCTCAACAGGGACCCAGAGACACCACCCACCTCCTACCCCACACTGATGCCCATGGGGCCAGGCCAGGGGAGTGTGACAGGAGCCAGGTCTCGGGTGTGGGGGTCTGTGGCAAGCCCAGCCCTCTACCTCACTCCCCTTGACACCGGTCCTGCAGAGAAACCTCAACCCCCAAGCAGCATCAGGCTAGTGGAAGTCTGGGGCTGCAATGCTGCCCTTGAATGGACGCCGCCTCAGGACACAGGCAACACAGAGCTTCTGGGCTACACGGTACAGAAGGCAGACAAAAAGACAGAGGTGAGGCCTCCTAGAGCGATCCCTTTCATCTCGGGGCCTCAGGTTCCCCTAAAGACTGCACCGGGGTGTGGGAAGGGCACTCTCTGAGGACCCAGAGAGGTCACCTGAATGACGCAGAAGCCCCTTCTCCCAGCTGAAAGCCCCTCGAGCCCAAGGCTAGACGCTTCTGCCTCCCAGGGGTGTAGCAGTGGCAAGCAGGGAGGGCAAGGGAGGGGTGAGAGCTGAGATGACAGGGCCGGGTCCCTGCAGCAATGGTTTACCGTGCTGGAGCACTACCATCCGACCACCTGCACCATCTCTGACCTCATCGTGGGCAACTCGTACTCCTTCCGGGTCTTTTCTGAAAACCTATGTGGACTCAGTGACTCACCTGCCATCACCAAGGAGCTGGCCCACATCAAGAAGGCAGGTGGGTCTCAGCTTGGACAGAAGGAAGCCAGGCCCAGCAACGCTGAGTCTCTTCCCATCTCCATCTCCAGTTTCCCCTTGGTGTGTCAGCTGCCCTCCCTGAGGGCCTCTCATGGATGCCCCTCCACACACAGCTATGCACACACACACATCCATGCACAGCAATGCATACACACGTGCACACACATGCAACCACACAGATATGGATGTGGTGGGCTGATTTAACAAACACATCAGAGCAGTCCCCTGCAAATAAGAAGTGTCCCTTGGGAGAGGGAGACTGTATTTATTCCAAAGATGCAGTGTGGCTTCTGACATCATAGGGGTCATTGGGTCTCACATGCAGTGTCCCAAAGGAACCAATGTGAGGACAGCATGGAGCGTGGACTCTGGCAAGTTTGCTGATAGCACAGACCTCCCAACCCTAATATAACTCCGCACAGATGGACAGGAGAGATGTGGGGTGTGACCCTTCACGTCAAACCCAAGCCCTTCCTCCGTCACTCTGCATGCTCCAAGGCCCTCCCCACGCAGAGTCTGTGTGGCCTCTGGAAGGCACACTCTTTTTAACACCAGCCTGAGCTGCACAGACTTAGGAATAAATTTTTGTTTAAAAAAGGAAAGCCAGTTATTTCTCCAAAGATAAACAAAAATAAAATGTAGTCTCTTCAGGCTGCTGGTCTCCACCATCAGGCAAGATCATCTCAACTCTCTGGTTTTCCTGCCCACCCTCTCTGCTCCCCTGGCTGAGCTACCCAGGTCTCAACTCTCCTCTGCCTCTCTAAGACATTCTGGCTCTAAGTTCCCACATACTGGTCATGCCTGGCTGCCCAAGATCCCAGGAGCCTGGGGCCCCCAGCAGCGAGCTCTGGAGGGCCCAGGATGAAATGGATTGGCTTCCTCCTCCGGGTGCTAAGACCTTCCTCCAGGCCATCGGCGCTCTACCCAGAGAGCCAGTTGTCAGGGGATCCCCAGATGGAAGCTACAGTGATCATTTTAGGAAAAGGGCTGTGGTCAGTCCTAAGTGGTCTCTTCCTATAACCTCAGCTTTACCCCATTTTCTCCCCTGAACCCAGATATTGTTGCCAAACTTAAAGGGTTTGTTGAGAGAGACTTCTCAGAAGCCCCTTCATTCACCCAGCCCCTGGCTGATCACACCACCACCTCTGGCTACAGCACCCAGCTCTCCTGCAGTGTTCGAGCATCACCCAAGGTGAGGGGCAGGGCCCTGCTGTGCCCTGGGGACCAGGGGGACAAGCAGGGCAGTGGGGCTGGGGAATCTCAGCAGGCATCTCTGCCAAAGCCTGAGGATGGCCTTGGAGAGCCTGGCCCCAGCCCACAACCTTCCCAGCCTCCCTGTGATCATGCTCCCCAGCCCAAGATCATCTGGATGAAAAACAACATGAACATCCAGGGGGACCCCAAATACCGCACCTTCTCTGAACAAGGCGTCTACACCCTGGAGATCCGGAAACCCAGTCCCTTTGATTCTGGGGTCTACACCTGCAAGGCCATCAATGTGCTGGGGGAGGCGTCTGTGGACTGCCGGCTGGAGGTCAAAGGTGAGGGTTTGAGGAGGGTCTCTCCTTAGGGACCTGCCAGCGGGGAGAACAGGAGATGCCACCTCTCCTCCTGCTGGACTAGAGGAAGCTGAGCCCTGAAAGTCAAGGCAGGACAAAAGGGTAGTGAGACTGCAGTCAGGCTGTCAGGACTGTCCACTCTCGGGGGGGGCTGAAGAGTCCACCTGGGATGTCACCTTGAGTTTCTCCAGTTTCTCCACCCCCAACCTGGTCCCCAGAAGACCCCATCCCACCGCCAGCTCTAACCTGTGGGATCTCTTCCAGCCTTAGCCACACACTGAAGAGCACGGAAGGAGGCTGTGATGGAGATGCAGGTAAATGGCTGGGCCTGCTGCCTGCGCTGCATCTGGGGCAGAGGCGGGGGCAGAGGTGGAGAAGGGGAGGTGGTAGTCAGCTCTGGGCACAGGTCTGCAGTCACACACACAGCCCTGGGGGTGCTCCAGACACACGAAGGCAGCTGGCAGGCGGGGCAATGCTGGTGAGGCCGGAGGGCAGTGATTCAGTGGACATTCTAGTCCTGGCTCTGAGTGACCTTAGGCTGCGGTGTCCTCTTGGGCCTGTTTTTTTGTCATCAGAAAAGTGGGCCAACACCATGTAACTGCCTTCCCTGCAAGGTGGCTCTGAGGCTCTGGACAGTGAGGAAATGGGCAGAGCTCAGACTTGGGTGAGGAGAGAGGAGCTGCTTTCCCTGTCCCACCTACCTCCTCGGCCCAGCTCTGCCCAACACCAGAGCTCATGAAGCATATTCTCTGCCAGGTGCTGTAGGCCTGAGGGGTCAGGGCCACCAGGCCCAAAATCAAGCTCCATGGATTCTCCAGACCCCCGTTTCCATAGTGACCATTAAAGGCTCTGTTTCCTGGCACCAGCCTCGCCTCCCTCCACCCAAGGCTGGAGCCCAGTACCTTGGAGTGGGCCTAGCAGGCCCCAGGACAGGCTTCCTGGGCACGAGAGCCCTGGAAGATGCCAAGACTGGCATGGCCCCTGCAAAGAGCTGCATGCCAGGCGAGAAGAGGTCAAATAAAGGTGTGTGGTGCTGCAGTCTGGGCCTCTGTCAGTGATCATCTTCGCAATTGGGGACATGCCCTGTCACTGCGAGGGGGGTGTTGAATGTGTCACCACGAGGGGATCTCCACATATGACACCATGAGGAAGGTCCAGTGGGCAGGGCCTCAAGGAGTCACGGGAGTTTCCTGATGTGAGATTTTTCAGGATCTTGCTTTCACATTCAGGGCTTGCCACGCCAAGATAATAATTATAAAAATAGACACATCCCTCGCTAGAACCCCCCTTACTACGAAGGCTCCACATCCCCCGCTCCCCACTTCTCACCCTCCCCACTGTGTCCTCTCTGCCAAGGTTGTCTGTCGGATGTGGTGGGTGGCTGCCCATCGGTGTGCTCTCCATGTGGTTCACAGTCTTTTATTAGTCAGGTGCCCCCCCTGGGAGTCAGGGCACAACCCACCTCTGAGAGAGGCAACAGCCTGGAATCAAGGCCTGGAGTCACCATTCACACTCAGGATCCTGCCCCTCCACCTCTCTGCACAAGGGGCTCTGGGCTTGGAAGGGGGTGGATCCTTCCCCAGATACCCTAAATTCCTCAACTCTGCAGCAGAGCCCCAAAGCCCCTGAAACCCGGGCTAAATGCCAGAGGTACTGAGGGCATTTAAATACCAGTGGGACCTTCCCGCCTACTCTCTAGGGACGGTGGTCTCCTCTGTCCTGCTCCAGGCTGTCATACCTCATCCCTTCTCCACTTCCCTGTCCATCCCCTTGCCAGACAAGCACAATGCTCCCAAGAGTTGACAGGTCTCCATCAGGCCCAGAAGCAGCAGGGATAGACGCTACTTAGGTGAACCTGGTGAGCTGGTGGCCCAGATGACAGGTAGTCACACTCCAGGCTCCTCCTCGGGATGCTCAGGGCTGCCACCTGATGGCTGTGTGAGGCACATACCACCACTCCACACTTGCTTCCGGGGCTCTGAGCCCCTACAGGTTCCAAAGGCTGGTGTGGAAGAAAGCAAATGTCGGAAATGATGCCTGGATTCACTCCTCCTGCCTCCTTCCCAAGTATGATGGGCTGCTCAGGGCGGAGGGGGGGCAGGCACCCTGGCACCCAGCATGGCAGGGAACATGGGGTTGTGGGAGGTAGGGACTGAGATTCCTTCATTTCTGCCCTCAGTGGCTCTGGTCACCTTCTCCTACGGAACAGGAGAGCAAGGCCTTCACTCATCTTGGAGGGTCCCCTCTTTTCCTTAGGCCTAGCCCCAGGTCTGCACGGCCACCACCACAGAGACAACAGCTCCCCTGCCTGCGGGAGCTGAGCTTGCCCTCCCCGCCCACGGGGCACCTTTGCCTGGAGCTGGGGCTGCCTGTGGGACAACCAGGCAGGTGGGATGGCTCGAGCCACTTTCCTCTTCCCATCGGGTTACCTGGTTTCTTCCTCACGGACTGCCCCCTAAACCTCCTGCAGGGCCCCGAGGTGCAGGGCATCCACACCCCACAGCCTGGCTGGGGAAGGCTCATGGAGACAAGTTAGACAGGAGGGAGGTGAGGACCGAGCTGAGATGCTCTGGCTGTGGGCAGGTAGAGTTTAGTCATCTGGCCTCTCTTCCGGGGGGTCCCCAGCAATGGGGGGTGCGGGCTGGCAGCGGAAATGGTCATTCCAAATCTTGAGGAAGGTGACCCGGAACTTCTGGATGCGAAAGGCATAGACAATGGGGTTCATGGCCGAGTTGCCATGCGTGAGGAAGATGGCAATGTAGGTGAGGATGCTGGGCTTGTGGCAGGAAGGGCAGAAGAGGGTGATGCAGTTCAGGATGTGCAGGGGCAGCCAGCTGAGGGCGAAGAGGAGCAGGATGAGTGCCAGCGACTTGGCGATCTTCAGCTCCTTCCCGTAGTACTTCTGTGGGTCCCCGGCGGAGGCCGACACCTTCTTGTTGAGCTGCCTGCGGATCAGGTAGAAGACCTCCAGGTAGATGAGGACCATGAGCAGCAGAGGGGGCAGCACCCACACGAAGAAGTTGAAGTAGACCATGTACTCCATGCTGATGACCTTCTCAAACTCGCACTTGATCACCGGCTCGCCCACGCTGCCGTTGGCCACCCAGGCCCGCTCCACCGCACTCAGGTTATTCCAGCCGAACATGGGTGTCAGGCCCACCACAAGGGAGACGATCCAGCAGCCGGCGATGGCCACCGCAGCCCTCCGGGGCGTCACCACCGTCTTGTACCTGGGGAGGGAGGGCAGAGTGTGAGGCCCGCTGAGGCTTACCCGGCCCCAGGAGGAGGCCCCACCTGCCAGGGCCCAGGAAACAGGCAGTGTGTGTCTTTGGCTAAAGCGCGGGGTTTTCAGGATCTAATGTTTGGACACAGCCTGTAATGCGGTGGCCCGTCTCTCCTGGTTAATGATAAAAATCATAACAGTAAGCAAAGGATGCCCTTTAGGAGTTTTAATAAAATCACCAAAGTAAAAATTGCTGCGTGTGCTAGGCATGTCCCCCCTGGTGATCTCATCCCTGTTTCATGATGGCCCTCATGAGTGGGAAAGCACTGGCAGATGAAGAAACGGAGGTTCGGAGCCATCCCGTGAGCTGCTGAGGCTGCCTGGAAGGTGGCAGTGCTGTCCTGTGCCTCCCAACGCATGCCCACACTGACCACACAGCCACTGGGGAACAAACCACCCTCCCTCTGGGCTGACAACACTCAAAAAGCATCCACAACCTTCCTTCGGGCTCCACTCACACTCCACAGCCACTTCCCATCCCCCACCTCCCTTCCCCCTCCCCGTCACTGTACCCAAGCCCCTTGGGAATTACTGTCAGGAAAGAAAGCTGGTGTTCACTGAGCATCTGCTAGGCGGAGGTACTTGCATCTCATGTGCGTGCTGGAGCATTTGTTCAGCAAACACTTCTGAGTGCTGTTTGTCCCAGGCACCACTCTCTGCTAGGAGTGAGACGGGGGACCCGCCTCTGTGCAGGTTGCACTTTGGGAGAAGACATGGATAACACAAAAGTAAGGAAATTAGTCGACAAAGCAACTATAGGTTGTGACATGTACTTGGAAGGAAACGCAAGGGACAATATCAAGGGATGGGGCCACCGAGATTTTACATCATAACACACAGACAGCTGGATGACACGAAGAGTGACAAGAAGCCCATGGATGGTGACGACCCCGTACCCCACTGAGGGCTGAGGGTTTCAATGTCCCCACCTCCCCTTAAGCAAATCCAGCCAGCAGCCAGCATGTCCTCTGGCCACACATGGGCCTTGGAGAAAGTGCCAAAGGCTGGGCCTCTGGCTCTGCACTGAGGAGCTGGCTCAGCACAGCAGCTGCCCAGTTGTTATTTTCCAATGCGGCTTCCAAGACAGGAAGACGGGTGCCCTCCTGAGCCTGTAAACAGCTACTGAGACCCATGGGCGTGAAGGGGACCTCCCTCCAGCTGCTGCTTCTGTCCCGTGCCTGTGGCTCTCTCCTTCATAGAGATGATACCTAAGGTGCCTCTCCTCCTGGAGGCCTTTCCATCCACTGAAACCCACTGTCCCATGAAGGCTTTATGGGAATGGAAGGGGACGGTTTGGGGGTGGGAGAAATCAGGTCCCCTCCCTGCCCCATCTACAAAGCGAGGTAGATGGGACCTTAGAACCTCATTTCTAATTTCCTTGTCTTTGCAGCGGGGACACTGAGGACCCCAGATGACTCCAACATCTTTGGTGTGGTGACCCCTCCCCTCCCCTGTGATCATAGAGTCCTTGTGCCTCCAAAGCACCAAGCCCTGAAAGCTGCCCACTTTGCTGCACCTGCCTGAGATTCTCTTCGCTTGGACCCTTGCTCTCTGCTATAGCTGAAGCCCATCCCCTCCACAAGGATTCCCAGCAGGAAGGCCAGCCTGGTGCTCCCATCTGCAACCACCTAGACCAAGTCTTCCTCTGTGAAACGAGCCAGCAGGACCCACATCAAAGGGTGAGGACCAGGTGAGATAACGTGTGAAAAGCTCTGTAAAAACTCCACCAATATTCATGTGCCTGGGCCCCCACACCTCCAAGCCCCTAGAAACATTCACACCTGGAAAATCTCTGGTATCTCTAGATGCTCAACAAACACAACCTCTGCAAACATCTGGCTCGGGGCTTGTTCTCGATGACCTCAAGTGCTCCCCAAACATCTCAAAGATGCTCTGGCCACAAGTCTATGGGGCCAGAACAAAGGGACACACATAATTCTGTGAAGAGAGAAGAAAGCTAAGGGGC